AAATTTTTTCTTTATTTTTAAGCAATTTGAAAGGCAGTGTTCTCTTGATTTGGCATATTGCGACATTATTAACGTTAGCACAGTTTTATGAAAAAAGAACCTTTATTACATCCTTCCTTATTGTTTTCAGAAATCCATCCACTTAATAAAAATCTATTTTTTTAGGTTCTTAGCTATCATATCTACAAGATGTAAACAAATCGAACAAAGTCCATAATGATACAAATAACCGCTTCCGTAAGACCTAAACTATACCTCGGTGGAGCTTATCAAATCGTTAAGGCATCGAGAATGGCCCATCAAGGCAAAGCAAGCAACTGCAACAGAAGCCGAGACCGCAAATCGGCGCGCGCGCATTGACGACACACGCCTCTTAGATAGATGGGTCATTCTGGGTATGGTATTTGATACCGTATTTTAAACTTCAAGTACTTATTATATTTATACTTTAATGCCACAAACACGGTGTCATGACTTAAACACACTAGTATTTAAATTCCACTTATAGAAATTACAGACTAATGAAATTAAAGTGTAAATTCCGTGTAAAGTTAAAAAGGATAAAAATAACATCACAGAACTAACGTTACGTTTAAATGCAGTAAAACTGCTTTATTTTTTAAATATCGAATTCAATATCATTTTAATTTTCACAAACTCTAGTGGTTTCCAAAGTATTTTTTTGCGACTGGCCAGTAAAAGCATTTGCCAAGAAGTTGTCCCAGACTTTTTTTTGCAAATATACTGGCCAGCAAAAGCATTTACCTTCGGAATGTCCCATCAGGGCGATCGGCGCGTGCGCTGCGGTGCATGCGGCTTCTTGCGCCATTCTCGCGATGGACGGTAATTGTGGGCGATAACATGACGCGCTTTTGTCATAGTTTTTAGGACTTGCCACCTCGGGATGCGCGAGAGTGGATGAGACTAAGTTAGCGGTCGAGTAGGTAGTATATGAGATTACAAGTTATTTATCCATACGATTCATGTATCATTTTTTATGTTATTATATTGGATAGAGTGCCTTTCTCTTATTTATTTTTTCCCAACATTTGGCTCTGATGGACGTAAATAAGTACAAAAAAGATAGTCCTTATCAAGCACTTCATAAGTAGGGGAAAGTAGTACGAGATGATCCCCTTAAGCGGGAATCGCTGTAAAATACATATTTTTCAAGGTAAACCAAAAATAAAGACGATTACTACTAGTATATTTATCTATCCAACTTTTATTATACTCAAAACCAGAAATTAATTGAGGTTTCATTAAAATATTTCATTTTTTGCAAAACCTTACAAAGTGATCATCTTGTACACCCCTGTGGGTAAGATGATCCCCCAGGTAGGGGTAAGATGATCCCTATGATTCTGTTCTATGATGTGTTCTTTTCTGGTTATATTCCTTTCGGAGTACCTAATTATGCGAACAAATCGTTAAAAAGTTAGAAAAGAAAAACATTTACGAATTAAATAACGAAAATAAGTACTTAGTACCTGCTAAAAAGCGTTTAAATAATTGAAACGCTTTTTGGCNATATAAATAATATATTTCCGAGTTCAACATTGTAACTCGGTTAATATTGTCCTGTATTGAATCATGGCTGGTTACAGACGCGTCCATTCTTCGTAAACTGGTTTCATTAGCGCGTAGGTTCAAACATCATTAAATTGTAGTGTAATTTGATTATTAAAATAATAATTTAGAATGGCGGCATTATCGTGGTTCTATCACTTACATTCCGAAATTACGTTAACAATGCAGTATCATTCTGTTTCCCTTTCACACGCGCGCGTGTACAAGTAAGATTATATTTTTGAGGACAGAGACGATAATTAGGGTGTACCAAAAGTTGGATAGTTGAAATCATTTAGCAATGAACAATTCCAAAGCACGACTTCTAAAATTTTTATTACATATTTTGTGAAAATAAAATGTTGGTTGGTTGCTTTGAAAATTAATAAAATGAAGAATACAAAGTATGTGACCCACAAATTAATCACACAGCAATTCTGTGACAGAAATTCACGCGGGCGAAGCCGCATGCTAACTCTACCTTAATATTTACTTGATAAAAGACAATAAAGAGAAAAATATACAAGTTGTTGTAGTTGTAGGGTTTAGGGTTGTTGTAAGTACACTGAAAAACAAAATCAAAAAACCATCGGAAACAGCATTAAATCGCTGTTAATCCAAAACACGAAATAGATCTGCATTAAAGCGAATTGAGTTGAGACTTGAAAGCGGTCTCAAGCTCTACATTTAGCAAATTATCTAGAGGCTAGATTTCAGACGTTGCACTTTTATTTTAGTAGTTGGAAAAAGTTAGAACAATAGTTAATTACAATTGACGTTTCAAAGTCAAAATTTCTTTATTTGTATAGACCAGTGTTTTTCAACCTTTTTTATGACACGACCCCCCTAGTATAAAAAAAAAAATTTTGGCGACCCCCCGACCGTTCGCTTTTTTTCATGCTTTTTATATTGTTGCAAAGATGTTTGTAGGGACCAAATACTTCAATCCATACAACAATAATTATTATTATTTGAATTATGGTAAAAGATTGGCACTACTATTTATATTGGGTTAGCCTGTAACAATAGTAAATGTGTGTGTATGTAAATAAATAAATAAACATTTGCATAATTAGATTTCGGATTAATCTGTCTTTATAAGAATTTTTCTTTACTGAAGTAGTTTTTACGACCTCTCGCGACCCCAGGGGGTCTATACTATAGACTATTAAATAGTTCTTACAAATCGTCGAATATTTTGCTTTTAAGGAGCCTCTACATGTCTCATTATCTTTTTGCCCTACCAGCGCTTCGAGACCATCATTTGGCAAGTGCTGAGAAGAAGCGCCGCAACAAACTCAGTCACCACTATCTGTCGGTTAATTTAAATAAATAAAAAATAGGAAGTTTAAAAGAGGAAGATAAAGGCCCAAGACAGATCTAGCTAAGTAAGTGCTTATGAGCTTCATTTAGTACCTACTAGCTTTTCGCCCGCGGCTTCGCCCGGGGTTTTCCCGGAAATTATTCGAATTTTTCTCGCGTAAAAACCATCCTTGGACTTCAACGAACATTTTTAAAAAAGAATTGGTAAAATTGGTCGAGGCGTTGTTGAGTTATGCGCTTACCAACACATTTTGCGATTCATTTTTATAATTATAAAAGTACAACTTCGGATCCGAATCCGTTATAATAAGAGAAAAACCTAGAAAACTACAAGAGAACTCTGATAACGGATATTGGATATGCTAGATTCTATATAGGCCAGTAGAATTCGATTTTAAATCGGAAATAATTCCTACAAAAGATTTTATTGCTTTAATGGCTTCATTTTCGACTTCGACGGAGTTGTGCTTAAGCGGTGGGGGCCCTCGAAAGGGGCGCTTTTTAGGTTTTCCGGTTATACCACGTAAAGGACTTACTCTATCGAAAAGTGGTCTTCCTGACGGTTGAAGGGCATTTAATCCTGCATTAAATAAGACCAAATTCATATGTTTTGGACAAACCGTTCTCGTTCAAATGTTTGGCAAGAGGTGCAGCAACCGCAGTTAAAGAACGGCTGGGACGAACAAGGATAGGCGCATCCAGTTCGTAAGCCTTGATAGGGTTACACTGGTTGAGGCGCTCCTTTTCAAGACTTGGAAGCCTGCGGGTAACGACAACGAGCCATTGGACGTGGAGGGGGTCATTAATTATACACATATTTTCTACTTTGCCGAACATTTGCACGAGAACGGTTTGTTCAAAACATATGAATTTGGTCTTATTTAATGCAGGATTAAATGCCCTTCAACCGTTAGGAAGACCACTTTTCGATAGGGTAAGTCCTTTACTCCGTCGAAGTCGAAAACCTATGAGAGTCTTTATGGGCAACTAATGAAGCCATTAAAGCACTAAAATCTTTAGTAGGAATTATTTCCGATTTAATTCATTTTTGTGTTTAATTCTACTGGCCTAATAGCGTAAACTACCATGACTATTCCCAACTATTTGGCGGAAAATATTGTTTTACATTATTGACTAGCCTTATGGACTACCTTTATTTAATTTCGTCGTCGTACGCCGCCGCGACTTCTGTTTTACCCCCTTAGGGGTTGAATTTTGCAAAATCCCGTCTTAGTGAGCACCTACGTTCTAAAAGGAACCCCCATACAAAATTTGAGACTCTTAGCACTTGTAGTTTCTGAGATTTCGTGATGAGTGAGTCAGTCAATCAGTGACCTTTCGCTTTTATAGATATAAAAATAGAATTTAGATGATTAATTTGCTCTTTGACGTTCATAATAAGTGCAAAATTTTGCCCAAAATTGAATAAGATTTTTGTCCTAGGCATACAATTTCAAGGAACCTAGACCACGCGAGAAGAGCCGCAGGCAGAGGCAAGTGTTATACATTTCAGGGTTCAAATGTTTGTCATTGACAAACTTTTTGTTCAACTTTAATGCGGAAATTAAAAATAAGCTAATATTTAAACGGAATACCGAATATTTGTAGTCCAGTGGATAGAGATGGACTCTTACGATCAAGCGGTCTCAGGTTTGAATCTCAATTCAATTACAGGACTATTTTTGGGTTTATTTGGTACTATACTTCAAACTTAAACGCGGGAAAATTATAAAGGCCGGAGAATTTTTAAAAACGCGCCTACATTTTTCAGAAATCATGAATAATTTAAAAATTAGCAGACGAAAAAACACGTATTTTTACTCTCTCAAAAGCATAGAGAGATCTCAATGAATCAAACTGTACCATAAAAAATGAGTATCTTTTTTACCCCGTCTCCTTTTTACCCTCTTCTCTGCAGTCGGGCGAAATACAGGGCGAGTTACGAATCAACAAGAGCTTGAAATGAACATTAAAAATGCAATCTACGCCGTGTATGGAATTTTACACGGCTGCGTAAACGAATCACACTCGAAATACGATGTGACATTCTTTCTACACAAAGTTATGATTAGGTTTTTCCGTGAAAGATTTGTCAGTTATTTACATAGAATCACTTACCAACCTCAGGTATCTGTAGTCACTGTGTGCGTTTTCTGGTGTATCTTCATAGTGGACCTCCTCAGGAAACGTTTCCCACAGGTGGGACACTCGTGTTGGCGGATGTTTGCGTGACTGCGCAGGTGTTGCGAGAGTCTGGAGACAAGCAGACATGTTTAAAATCTGGTTATTTATTAACAATCCCTGACTCTTCTAACAAGATTGGGAGCCGTAAATGGAGATGGGCAGGACACATTGCATAGAGCAAACACGATTGCTGGGTCAGAAAAACCTTAGAGTGGAGACCCCGCAATGACAGAGGAAGACCACAAAAGATGGACAGATGACATCGTCTGTGAGCGAGTTAATGAGTTTAGGCGATTATCACACTGCGCCGCGCTCCGCGTGATTTCATATAAAAATCCCGCGCGCAGACGCGTTGTCAGTGTGTTGTGCCGCGCGTGTTTTCTATACAAACTGCGGTACTTGCATACAATGATTAAATCTGTCGTCCCGCGTACCGCGGCGGAGCGCGGCGCAGTGTGATAATCGCCTTACATCAAACAAATTTAGTTTTTGAACGTTTCCCGCTAGGGGCGCTGTACAATCCGTCATACAATCGCGTTTGATGAAAACTTACACTCAGCCCTCCAGTAACAAGCTGGAATAAACTGGATGCAAGTGGCCGGGGACAGAAATCGGTGGTATTAAGTTCAAAATGCAACCTACAGATGGCGTTATACTGTGTCCAATTCGCGCAAGTAAAGCATTTCTAAACTAACTAACTCACGGCTTGATGTTTCGGCTGCGATGCTGCAGCACATAATGTGACTCATTAATAAACGTCGCGTTAAGCCCGTGTCTTACTATTTTAGTTGAAATAGAACGCGAAAGATTAAAAGTATTTTTAAAGTTCATAACACCGCAAGTTCGGTGTGTTAACAACAAGGCTTTGAATAAAATATTTATGTAATTTTCTTACTTCGTCCTCAAGCTCAGAATCTTCTTACAAACAGGGCACTGCACTCTCTCCGCTCCGTGCACGAGCGAGTGTCGTTTCAACAGGTACAAAGCAGTGAAGCTTGCTCCGCACACCTCACACGTGTGCTGCCTCTCCGAGAAGTGCACTTTAATATATCAATGTCATTTACTTACTTCGTCCTCAAGCTCAGCATCTTGTTACAAACAGGGCACTGCGCTTTCTCCTCTCCGTGCACGAGCGAGTGTCGTTACAACAGGTACGAAGCGGCGAAGCTCGCTCCGCACACCTCACACGTGTGGTGCCTCTCCGAGAAGTGGACTTTAATATATCAATGTCATTTACTTACTTCGTCCTCAAGCTCAGCATCTTGTTACAAACAGGGCACTGAGCTCTCTCCGCTCCGTGCACGAGCGAGTGTCGTTTCAACAGGTACGAAGCGGTGAAGCTCGCTCCGCACACCTCACCCGTGTGGCTTCTCTCCGAGAAGTGCACTTTAATATATCAATGTCATTTACTTACTTCGTCCTCAAGCTCAGCATCTTGTTACAAACAGGGCACTGTGCTTTCTCCGCTCCGTGCACGAGCGAGTGTCGTTTCATCAACAGGTACGAAGCGGTGAAGCTTGCTCAATACACCTCACACGTGTGCTGCCTCTCCGAGAAGTGGACTTTAATATATTAACGTCATTTACTTACTTCGTCCTCAAGCTCAGCATCTTGTTACAAACAGGGCACTGCGCTTTCTCCTCTCCGTGCACGAGCGAGTGTCGTTTCAACAGGTACGAAGCGGTGAAGCTCGCTCCGCACACCTCACACGTGTGCTGCCTCTCCGAGAAGTGAACTTTACGGATGTGGGCACTCAGGAGAGTGGGTGTTGCGAAGGATTTGGTGCAGTTTTCCTTAAACAAATATTCAGAGTCAAGATGACATAGTTTCTACATCTTCAATAACTAATATTCAACTAGACAAAAGATGTAAACTTATGAAACTACATATTTTATACATAGATATCCGGGAATTCTAGGAGAGTGTGATTACTCACCTGACATGTACTAGACTGGTTTTTCTAGATCTACCCTCAAGTAAACAATACAAGTAGTAGAAAGAGGCAAAACTTTTTATTTGTAAAGAAGGGGATAATCTGAATTGTAAACTTATTTATTACGGTTAAAGACATTTATTTTCTCAAAAGAATTTACAACATCCACTTATAGAGAAAACACAGATACAATTAATTACATTATTACCAACTAGCATTTTAAATGTGGGTATGTTATTATCTTGAATATATAAATAAATACACTAAATACTAATTGTCTTGCTCCCACTATTACATTTACAACTGTATAAATTATCAGTGGTTGACTGGCAGAGAATACCTACTAGCATTAAATCATTAAATCCTCCATTATTACTTTTTTTACATGCAATAAGGATTAAAATAGTTAAATGTCACTTACCACAGGACAATTCAAATTGGATTCGTCTTCCAAATGTACGTAGAGGTTTTTGCCTCTGCCTTTCCTCTTTCTGACCATAACATTGTCATTTAAAACTATCGTTGAATCTGATGGTACATCTACGCGCGTTGACGCGCGCCATTTCCACTCTCAATCTAATTTCGGATAAAATAGATATTTTTTCTTGTACTCTGAGTGAATTTACAAAGGCATCATTATTTGTTATATGTTATGTGTAGGTTTGTATGTAGGTGATTACTAGTTGTGTATTTGACGTTGTGTATGTTGATGTGTTGTCTTCGCTGTCGCAGTGGGATGTCCTGTAATGACAGTGAAGTGTTGTTGTTGTGAATAAATAAATAAATAAATAAATAAATAAATCTACAAACACAAAACTCATTATTTATTTTATTTATTAAGACAACCAACAAGTAAACCATGCACACAAAGTAACCAATCATTATAAACTATGATTTAAGTATGGTCTTTTAAAGTATAATTTAAATAAACAGAAGATTATTTAGTCTGGGACAAGTAAAATACTGTGTAAATGCTCAAAATTAATTAAATCTTAATCTCTGTAGAATACAAGAGATATTTAGGAACAATTAAAATGTATTTTCCTCAACTCGATGTTCTGCAAAAAACCTAAAAACAAATGGACCTGGGTATCTCCCGACGCACAGTGATTCGAGTAGAACAAGCTAGCTGGACAATATTATTTTTTTACTTTAATGGGTTTAATACACGCATTACTTACTTTTTTGTGCAATTTAAGATTAATTAGGCTTGTTATTGTAATTATTATAGGTAGGTTTGAAAAAAAAAAAATTATTTTGGTAATAAAATATTTATTTCCTAAAATTAAGAGAAACAGACTAAAAAGGAAAGAAGAAACTAACTTTACAGTATAATAATAATTGGTCTTATGACGTATTAGGTGTTAAAGTATGAAATTCTCGTTTTTTATGGAGAATTTAATGAAAATCAATTTTTCGATATAAACATTTTTGCGATTTATATGGAACAAAGATTCTCAGTTTTTTTTTATTTAGTGGGTAGACTGGGACAACATTAATGACTTGCCAAGTGGCTGTGGCCAGCAGACATTTGCGCTGCAGCTTCAGCAGCCAATATCAGTTCTCAAGTACTTCTTGAGGAAATGAGGTCTAAAAGTCTTCTTCTTTTCGTCTTTTTGCTGGACTCGTCGAACTCCTTGAGTGGTCGTCCAGGTGTAGAATCTTTCGACGTGGAAGACTGAACTTTATGAACAGAAACATGTAACACTATGGCTCCGGGAATCCACTCAGTTTTGTTTTTCATGAAGCGTTCCCTGTTTTGCCGTATTTCGTCCATTGAAATGAAATTGAAATGCGACTGATGCTATTCTTCAACTCTCTCAGCGAATTTTCGTGATCCCACTTGGTATCGCTTGAAAACTTTTCTGTTCAGTACAGCCACTCAGTATCATCTCCTTCAGACTCAGGTGAGTTATATGAAGTTCTCTTTCTTTTATTTCACTTCCCTTTACCTACTCCATTGACTTTTTTGTTTTAATTCCCAGGGATCATCTCGTACATATAGGAAGGGATCATCTTGACCCAAGTCCCACTTTTTGTTAAATATTTGCTAAAATAATCTGCAAGTACGCGGCTACGTTTTTACGCCCAAAATATTAAAATTAAACATAATAGAAAGCCTAACGACAACAGTAATTACATTTAACATGGTTTGAATAAAAGTAACATAAGCTCAAAGTCATGCCTATTTTAGATCAGAAGTACACAATTTTTCTTTTTTCTCGTCAAATTAGATGTATCGCTTACGCCACCATTACGATTTGACTGAGGCGGGGATGTGTCCAGAGCTATGTTTTACCAGTGAAATAATATAAATAACGTTAGTGGTTTCAGCACAATCGCGAAAGATCATCTTACCCCAGGGGATCAACTCGTACTACTTTCCCCTACCTATCATTAGGCGCTACCAGCGTTTCAAGACAAAATATTATTATGTTCTCTAACTCTTGAACATCTATACAGGGTGGAAACGTTAAGTGATCTCACTCGATTATTTCTAAACTATACAAGATATTGAAAAACTGGTTACTGATCCTGAAAGTGCTTCATGAGATCTTTCAAACGGTACCAATAATAGGGTACAGAATAAACTGGATCTATCTGAAAATTCAATGTTTCCAGCTTCCATACTAAATGTATGCCAGCCACACAATATTAGAAGTGTATTTTTTTTATTTAATAATAAACTCTTAAAATAAACTCGTAAATTTCTTATTTAAAATTATTCATGGAAAACATTGGTTTTAGGCTTTACTTGCTATAATATTGTCAAGAGATGAGTGTCATGACTAAATGTATGGAAGAAAGAAACATTGAATTTTTGGATAGATCCAGTTTATTTTGTAACCTATTATTGATACTATTGGATAGAGCTTGTGAAGCACTTTTAGAATCAGTAATCAGTTTTACGATATCATGTGTAGTTTTTAAAATAATGTGACTTTACCAAATGTATGGAAGTTGGAAACATTGAATTTTCGGATAGATCCAGTTTATTCTGTAACCTATTATTAATACCGTTTGATAGAGCTCATGAAGCACTTTCAGGATCAGTAACTAGTTTGTTGATATCTTGTATAGTTTAGAAATAATCGAGTGAGATCACTTATCGTTTCCACCCTGTATATATAAAAGAAAGTCGTGTTAGTTACTTCGCTTATAACTCAAGAACGGCTGAACCGATTTAGCTGAAAATTGTCAGGGAGGTAGTTTAGAGCCAGGAGAAGGACATAGGATACTTTTTATCCCGTTCGAAATAAAAAAAAAGTCTGCTTATTTATTGCCATTAAGGCGGAACAAAGTTCGCCGGGTCAGCTAGTTATTAATAAAAACAAATTGTTTTCATTCTGTGCAATAATTAATTACTTACATAATTGTATATTTAAGGCACACGTAAAATTCATATCATTTACATAAGGTAGATATTATACAACCATAAGCCGACAAAAAAAAAAGAAATATGTACCTAACGAATGCTTTTCGATTACCTAACGATATCAAATTATTGTTGACTTAATTTTCTATAAGCCTACACGCTAAAAGAGATTCTACACCATAATTATGCAATATTTTTCTAACTTGGAACCGATACCAACACGACTTTACGTCACTGTTATTTAAACTTTGATTAGTGTTGATTACGTCATATAATATTTATTTAATCTTAAGGCTTAATTGACTACGATATTGCCCTTTGTAGTAGTATGTGTGTAAGTAACCTTTCAGTTCATAAAATAAGTATTAGTTTGTGCCTAGTCCCCTAATATTGGGAAACGAAAATGAGGTTCAGACACGATAACGAAAACTAAGGCTGGGTCGCACCATATTACTTTAACTTTGACAAACGTAAAAAATCTGTCAAATTTCATACAAAAACACCGTTTATCGTTAAAGTTACGGTCAAAGTTAGGTGGTGCAACTCAGCTTAAGCGATAGAAAATAAAAAGGCAGATTGTTTAAACGATCCTAAATCTTCTCAATTAAATCCATCAGTCGGTTTTAAAACTTATTGCTATGTTTAAATCTAACGTGGTGTTAGACATTACGAGCCATCAAAGGCGTCGGACATGCCTCAATGACTCTAAACACGGAATCGTTCTTATCACACCATCAAGCTGATTTAAATCTAAAATGTCTGACTAATTTATGTAATTCGTAATTAGCAGATCTTAAGACAAATAAATTATCTCTCTCGACCTAAGTACTGATTAACTGGCCTAGGTTCAGTCGCTCTTCAATAATAGAATTTGTGGGAAATAGACATTTCTCTTTATTGTCTAGACGTGAGTCATGAGAATAAAATTCTAGCTTTGAAACAATTGATTGCAACAACTAATGGTATATTGCTTGTGAAACTACTGTGAACCGGGGGTTCCGTCTGGTGTCTTTTATGTGGATTTCCATAATAGTTTCCTATGCTCGTAGAACAAGAAAAGAAGATAAATTGCTGTCGGCCGTTTGGTGTAGTGGTTCGAATCGGACTACTATTCCGGAGGTTGCGGGTTCGATTCCCGCACAATACAAACATTTGTGTGCATGAACATATTTGTTTGTATTGGACTGGGTGTTTTCTATGTATAATATGTATGTATTTACAAAAAAAAAGTATTTAAGTATGTTTATATCCGTTGTCTAGTACCCATAATACAAGCTTTGCTTAGTTTGGGGCTAGCGGCGTAGTGTAAAAATGTCCAAGGATATTTATTTTTTAAATGTAAATCTGTTGGTGTAACAGGGAACTAACTTGACGGGATCTCTTTGACCACGCTCTGTCATTTAAACTCTTTTGTTTTCATTCGACAAATGCTGGTTGTCAATTGTTTTTTCTCCGGAAAAATTTTTCGCGTTGCAATTTTCATGACGTAATTTTTATAGGTACTTTACGAATATATTTTTTTCACATTTTCTGCACCAATTTGTCGCGTTGTGATTTTTTTATTTCAAATGATTTGATACAACTTTTATGCATATCTAATACATACCTACATAAATCCATTAATTAAAAATATGTATTATAATTAGCAAATTGCTTAATTTACAATTGAAATGATCCATTAACACGTCAGTGTTGCCATAATCGGAATTTATTAAACATTGTTTTTATTGAAAAATGACGGCCAAATTACGCAGTTGTCAATGGTCTTGAATTCAAGGGGTAATGAATTCAATTCCCGATCTGGACAGATTAAAATTAAATGTTAAAGGTGTTATGTAGCATATTAAATTAAGTGACCTATTTTTAAAACATCTATCCGCAATAGTGTTCAATATTTTTTGAACTTCAAGATTAGGATTAAAACATTATTAAACAACAAGTCACAAAACGAGAGCAAACAATGCAATAACTTATTTGATTTCAATATTACACACAAGCCAATAATTAATCATTTTTATGAGTTTTTTTTTTAAACCAATAATGAATAAGTTTTTTTTTAAACCAAACCGTTTATCGGTGAAAGCAACTAGCAGATCCGCGAAAACTAATTGGTTACACCAAATCTATATGTTCTTAAATAAAAAGTGAGTTAACCTCGAAATCGTAATAACAAATCAAAAAAGTAGCACGTGCTAGCTAAAGGTTCGGACAAACCAACGCGTGCAGCGATGGCGATGGCGATGGCGACCACTGCGCGTGCAAAAGTTGTTTCACACTGCCGCGACCGCGATGGCGATTACTGCGCGTGCAGGTTGTCACTGTCACGCATATTGCCTATCAGGCCTATTCGGCAAAATGGAAATTGAATTTAATGATTTGTTTGGAGCTTTTGATGCAATTGAGACAGTGGAAACACTTTT